ATGCGCTGCACATGTACCCCAGAACTTAAGGTATAATTTAAAAAATTGCTGTATATCTTTATATCTACATAGATATACATAATTTATTAAAAATATGAAGTAATAGCTAAAAACACCAAATTTGGGAGAGTATTTACTTGGAGGGAGAGATAGGAGAGAACTACCCTGAAATCAAACTAAAAGTAAGAGTGGCAGGATTTTAGAATTCTTTGAAAAATCAGTAGTAGGCACATGGCTGTCCTTGATGCTATTTTATGTACTTTTTGTATGCACGAAATATTTTATAATAAAAGTGTAAAAGTATTAAAAAGAAGTCTAAAGAATATTAGTTAAAGGAGCATCCTAGAAAAATCGAGACGTAAAATAGAGTAATTCTTTCTGCAAGCTGCCTAAGTAAGAAGGCACTGTGTACAGGGGACAAAAAAGTAACCACAGAGACATAGCATCTCCTTCCCTCACCTCGGGGTCTCTGGAAGGCCTGTGATTTCCCTGCTGGGGCTTTCCTATGGGTATTTCCTACTCTTGGACAGACTTTTCTTTGATGAAACCCTTCAAACCCCAGCTTCCACAAACACCACCAGTATCGCTATGATGCTGTGTGGTCATCTGTCTGTCCACCTGTGGGTCACTACCCCCTCATTCTTGAAGGTTTGAGCTCTTAGGTCACTGTCCCTCTCTCTGTCATCCGCAGAGATGATCTTCTTTGACCCTGGCCTCTTTCCTTGCACTTCTTTCCTCCAATGACTGTCTCTTGCTTGGATATTGCAGTGCCCTCCTGACTGGTCCCCCTTCTCTGGCATCATTCCCTACCTCATCAATTCTTAACAGTAGCCCACCAGAGACATCCTTTTAAAACACTAGGTCATGTCCCTTCTCTTCTCCAAGTCCCCAAGTGACTCCCGCTCAGCGGAAAAGCCAAGCTACCCTCATTGCCTTCAAAGCACTACATTATTTGGCTCCTGGTACCTCCTCTCCTGCTGCCTTGCTGCTCATCACTCTGGGTTCCTGGATGCTCCTGGAACCTGCTAGGCATGCTCCTGCCTAATTTGTACCTACTGTTCCCTCTGCCTAGACCTTTTCACTCTAGATATCTCTATGGCTTGTTTCTTCTCTCACCTCCTGATATGGTTTGGCTGTGTCCTCACCCAAATCTTATCTTGAATTGTAGTACCCATAATCCCCAAGTGTTGTAGGAGGGAACAGGTGGGAGGTAATTTAACCATGGGGGTGGTTACCTTCATGCTGTTCTCCTGATAGTGAGTGAGTTCTCATGAGATTTGACGGTTTTATAAGGGGCTTTCCCCTGTTTTGCTTGGCACTCTTCTCCTTCCTGCCGTCATGTGAAGAAGGACATGTTTTCTTCCCCTTCCACCCTGATTGTAAGCTTCCTGAGGCCTCCCAAGCCATGCCGAACTGTGAGTCAATTAAACCTTTTTTTAATTTTTAAAATAAATTACCCAGTCTCAGGTATGTCTTTATTAGGAGTGTGAGAATGAACTAATTTACCTCCTTTAGGTCTTTGCTCCCCAATTGTCACATTTGTCATGAGGTCTTCCTCGACTACTTTATTTAAAACTGCTCTCCCCATACACAATGCTTTCTATCTCTTTTTCAGCTTATTTTTTTTCTCTAGTATGTACCACCCTCTAATATGCTATGTAATTAATTTCTTTATTTTGTTTGTAGCCTGTCTCCCTTCACTGGAATGTAATCTCCATTAGGACAGAGGTTTTCATATGTTTTATTGCTTTAATACAAGTGCCTGGAACAGTGCCTCGCACAGAGAAGATTGTTGGGGGAAATAGCAATGGAGGAAGGGTTTACAGTGAGCCCACATAAGCTGGTTAGAAGTAATGTATTAAAGAAATCAGGAACAATAAGCTGTGGAAGGCAGCAGGAGGCCTCTGGGGAGGAAGGCCTCTCTATGCCAGCATGTTCCCATGTACAGTGACCCAAGCTCTGACATTTTAAAAATGATGCTCAAGGAGGTAATACTCCTTTGAATGGCTGGAATGTAGCCAGACATGTACGCTCCTTGTTAAGTCTTTTCCCACCAGCTGCAGATAGAGAATTACCTGCTTTTAGCTCTTAGAAAACTCACATAAACTGCCACTGCTATTAATCTTATGTTTGATGTACAGCTTTCCTTTCACCGGTTCACCCCACCATCTGTACTATAGATCAAAGTGATTGTATATAATAAATATTGCAGAAAACCAGAGCTCAGGGCCTTTGCAGCCTCCATTTTGCAATGGCCCCCTGGCCCCACTTTATGCACTCTTAACCCGTCTTTGTCTCATTGCTTGGTCAACACTGAACTCAGGGTACCCGTGGGTTGTGTATGAGGCTGGCACCCTATAAAGATGCAATTAAATACTTGCAGAAAGCCTAGGGCTTGCAAGAGGCTGTTCCATTGTTCCCCTCCCCTTTTCAACCATCTGTAGCTGCCTCCCTTGAAGCATCTTCCAGTTCCCATGGCCACTGCCCACACATGATTTCTGCCAGCATCTAAGCTGTTCTTGTGTTCTGGGGTGCTGGAACAATAGCTCACTTCCATGCTGGACTCCAGGTTGGGGTCATCAATAAGCGTTTCTTTCCATAGCACAGGAGTATGTCATCTCCTGAATCTTCCTTTTTCCTGGCTGTATAGCTGAAATGCATTCCAGAGAGTGAAATACGATTAGTAATTACATTGGTTAAGCAGGCTAAATATCTTTAACAAGCAGATCCAAACTAATTATGGCTGAAACATAACAGAAGCTCACTTAGACCTCTAGTCTAAGTAGGTGTTCATGTCTGCAGATGGCTCTCCTCCATATGGTGACTCAGGGATCCAGTTTGATAGCAGCTTTGCCATCTTTAGCATGTGACTTCCACATTTGTCCAGCTATCGTCATTCAGGTTGGCACATAACTGCAAAGGAGGCTGAGGAGAATGGATTTTGGTGGACAAGTAGTTGCCTCCACATGGTAATAATATTTATCATCTTCATCATTATGGTCTTAGTAGGAGGCATATATCTCAGTTGATAAACTCATGTATGCAAGAAATGTAACTTTGTTTTTTCTAAAATCTAACTTCTGTTTTCAGTCTCAGCCTGTTAAAGATGGCAGAATTTTAATTTTAGTCACTTTAAACATCCCTGTTCCCCTCTTTTCCTGGGGAGGGAGTTTAAGAGTAGGGTAGGGAGAAGTGCATAGTTCCTGATGTCATCTGCTTACACCAGTACCCATAGAGATGGCCATCATCTGGAGTAGGCTTTGAGCATCAGGATGCTGAAGAAGCATCCCTAGATCCCAGCTGCATGGCTCTTCCAGGCCTGGAGGGGCTCTCTATGACTTCTCTATCTGTCTTGTGAATACAGGAATCATTAGGTTGCTCTCATGCCATGACAACAACTCTTCAAGGCTCTGTGAGGCTCCATTTGGCAAGGCATCCCATGCAACTGTTCTTACCTGGGCTATTGCTTTTCTTGGAGCTCAGCCCAGCTCTTGGATCCCACAACTCCATCTGGGGATTCTATTGCCTTCCCGGGGCTCAAATTTGGAGCAGGGAACAAGGTTGCTCTCTTTGGGACTCATCGGCATTTTTGTAACCTGGCCTTTTTCTTTCTCTCTTTCATCTCTCCAGGATGGAGATTTTTTTCCTAGTATGACGAGGAGGGTAATTCTTGCTCTGGCTCACTTCTTATCTAGGCTGTGAATTCTTTCTCTTTCTCTAAGGGCCTGGGTTTTGGAAACTTAAAACTGAAAGGAGAGACCCCTTCCCTCTGCATTTGGCTGTCACATTCTCTTCACTGAGTAGAGAATAACCTGGTGGCTAGTGAGACGAAGGACCGAGGGGCATCGCATGGGGGAGGAAATGGCTTTTATTATCAACGGTCTCCCATCAAAAATGGGAGAATTGTGAAACATTTAAAAACCACAATTTCACCATTTGATAACACTAATGACAACAACAACGATGATGTAATTTACATCTATTGAGCATTTAGTGCATGCCAGATCCTCTCCTAAGTGCTCTCTACATACAGCATCTTTATTAATTGTCACAACAAATCTATATGTATTTAATATTAGTCTTATTTTCTATCAGAGCAGTCCAAGTTCAGCAAGGTAAAGGGACTTACGTGTGTCAGGGTCTCACAGTTTGCAAACAATGGATCTGGGCCTCAGAGACTAGCCTGCACCTAAAGTCTAGGCTCAACCACTGTAGCTCCTGGCCTCTTGGCAATATCCCTGGAGCCTCAGGACACCAAATGGGGAATCATTCTATTCTTTCATACTCCTTATCAGGCAGGAGTGGGGCTGGCCTTCCTGATTCCCTGCCCAACAGAGGTGGGTTGTCCCTAGGGTGCTCTCACTGCCAGCCTCTTCCTCAGAACCTGGTTGCCCTCTCTGTTTCTGCTATGGCTTATCTCATCTTCCTGCAGGTTTCCAACCTCTCTTTCTCTTTCCTGGTTGGACTTTACAAATAAAATAAAAATTTAGCTAAGAGCTCATACCACAAAAAGGGAAGAAGTGGTAAGTACAGGCAGCAAACAGGGCCCAAGAGTTAACATCCTGCTGCCACTGGGTACATGGGTTTTGCAAAGGGGGTGGGTCGAGGCTCCTGGGTCTGTGTTCTTGGGCCCTCCAGGTGGCCCCTCCTGACCATCTGGCTCATGCTGAGGCTGGACCTCCCAGGCTGTCCCCCAGATAGGCAAAGCCTTTTCCAGGTAGAATGTCTGTGACTTCAGAAAGACTTCAAACAATCTCTATTATCAGAGGACTATTCCTTTGGATTAAGAAGCTCCAAATACCAGATAGGCTCACTCTAAAAATTCAGGTATCAGACATTTTCACCTTAGTATAGCTAGGCTGAATCATCTGGCTTGGAGCAAGGCTCCCAGGGGTCAGTCGTGTTGGTGGGCAGCGGGAAGGGAGGGGAACTTTGGAACATGATACAGGTGGGTTGGTGCAGGGGGCTGTGGGAGGGTACACAGCTGTGTGTCTCTGCAGGTGAAGACTCCATCAACACCTTGGGCCTGATCCTTGGCGTGGGGCTGTCACTGCTGCTCGTGTCCATCCTCGGCTACAGCCTAGCCAAGTGGTACCAGCGTGGGTACTGCTGGGAGGGTGAGTGTGCACTGGGCCCTGTTGCCCCAGCTCTTCCTCTCTCATAGCAGTTGGCAATGCCTGGAAGGGCTGCAAACTCCTCAGCATAGTGGGATGCAAAAGTATTTCCTGTGGTGGTTGCAGTGGTTGAAGACTTGAGTGGGTGGCTGAGCAGTTGAGGTGGTGAGGTGAGGCAATGGTGCCTTTATCGAGGGAATGGGGGCTCCTCTCACCCCAGCAAGTAGCCAGCTTCCTCCTCTCTCAGAGCCCATAGGAGGCCATGCCAGGGGTCTCTGTGGGCTAGATAAGAGAGCAATGGGCTAGACAGGCCATGCTCCAAGTGATCTCAGTCTGGCTCCTTGTGTATCTCTGCCCCTGACTATGGGTCTTGGGACTCTCTCCTAAGCTTGTGGAGGTGTCAGCTTCACTGGGAGTCTCCTGGAATTTGCTGTGATGTTCTCAACTCGGAGACATGGCTGCACTTTTCATAGGACTCTGGGAAAGCTGCAAGGGTGTGCTGGAATGCCAAGGGACAGAGACTATTTCACAGATCTGCAGTTAACTTTAACAGAGTCCATGGATGTTTGTTGAGCACCTACTCTGTGCCAATACACTTTTGCCTAATATGATTTTCTTTAAAATTCCACGTGAGAAATATGTTATTAGGGACATGAGGCTGAAGTCGTGGGGTTAGAATGAGGTAGAGTCTGAATTCAAGCCCAGGTCTGGTTCTATTGGGGTCCAGCCTAGGACTGCCTTCATCCTAGGGTAATCAAGACCCTAGCGCTGAAGCAGGCTGGGATGCTCCCACACCATCCTGAGGCTCAGCCCAGCCACCCTCCTCCTCCAGACAGGGGAGGGGGCACCAGACATTCTTGGAAGGGTGATGGACTGCTTTCCCTGGAAGTGTTAACCCTCTCTTTTTGAATTGTCTTCTTAGGGCCTAATTTTGTCTTCAACTTATATCAAATCAGGTGAGTAAATCCAGGGAAGATCTGGGTGAGGTGGGCATTGGGGGTAGAAAAAGAATCAAAGATAGAATAAGAACTGACTGCTTCCTTTTCCTGTCTTCTGTTCATGACCCTAAGAAAATAAAAGAGGGCACGAGAATCAATTTAGAAAAGTCTCATGAATAAAAACTTGAATGTAGGACTATGTGAAACCCTGATGACAATGATCTTTTTAATATTCACCCTTAGGCAGGGACTATTCATCCATCCATCCATCCATCCATCCATCCATCCATCCATCCATCTCTCCCCCAAGCAGGCAGAGCCAGCCTTCCTTCCTCCCTCCCTCCCTTCCTCCCTCCCTTCCTGCCTTTTCCTTCCATCCTGCCTTTTCCTCCCTCCCTCCCTCCTTTCCTCCCTTCCTTTTTTCCATCTATCCATCCATTCATTCATCTGTCAATCGTCCATCATTGATCATTCCTTCGTTTCTTTCATCCATCCATGCATCCATCCATCTTTCCTTTTTTCCACCTTCCATCATTTATTCAGAAAGATTCTATCATAACCACCACTACTGTGGTATGTTTCTAAGAGTACAAAGATGACTGGGCATAGCCTCTGTCTTCAAGCATTTCATGTCTATGCTGGAGACAGGTCTGATTACAAATAATGTAATGTCAGGCACAAGAAGGTATCAAAAAGAGACACATATGAGAAAGTCAGGGATTTAGGGAGTGCGAGCTGGAAGTTCTCTTGGCGTTGGTCATCTCATCTACTTGCCATAGGCAGGGCTGCATCTTCTTTGTCCCTGAGAGATGATTATGGTAGGTGGCCCACTTCCTTTTCTGGAAGACAAGTCAGTGAGTTGGTGCCCTGGAGTCAAAGGAGATGGGGTCCAAGGGAGAGGCTAGGTTGTCAGCTCCAGTAGCCTGATTGGATCATCTTTCTCAGGAACCCGAAGGATCTGGAGATAGGTCCACCCTTCACCATCAGTGGTCACATCAGCAGCCCAGATGGTGGCTACATGAAGTTCTCCAACAGGCTAGTCTGATGCAGGGGCAGCAGCTTATGGAGCCCTGGAGAGGTGAGTTTGAGGTAGGGGAGCTCCCGTGTCAGCCTGATGTCCAAGTAAGGTCCTAAGAGGGTCCAGGCACCCAAGCCTTGCACCAAGGACCACTCGGAACTCAAAGAGATTATCTGGACCATTCCCTGTCTTCTGGTGTTCATCTCAGGCTTGCGGTCATGTTTTCCCCCACCCGCTTCCGGCACTGGGCCGGCCCTGTTTTCTCCTGGTCCACCCAATCCATGCTCGGCCTTTCCTTCCTGGGAAGATTCTGTTCGTATTCAAAGTGGAAGCTTCCAGAGCACAGCTTTTTAAATCTCAATTCTTGCTCTAAGATGAAGTTTCCAGATGACCAGTCTCTCCGAGAAGCATCACTCTAGCACTTCAGTTCTGAGCTTTCTGAGCCCAGGAGCCGCCCCTGCTTCATGGCCCACTAACCCTTTGGCCACACTTCCCCTTGCCTGCCTTCCAGCTCCTCCCTTCCTCACATCTCAGTTGCTTTTTCCCATCCAAACCTTTTCTCCCTGCAGCAGTTCCTGCCCCTTCCAGGCTCCCCTGGGCTGCCCTCATCCCCTTGGATCTTCAAGACCTGGCCTGGCCCCTCCCTGTGGAGGATGAGGGGGTCTCCTCTGGATACACACCAGTCTGCGGCAGGGGAGTCCTGGAGAGTCAGGCATCTAGGGATGGAGTCTGGCTGGGCAGCAGTGGCTTTCCCACAGAACTAAAATAGGCGGCCATTCCTCAGGAGGGAGCTGGGCTCTGGGAAGCTCCTGTAGGAGGGGTCGCAGAAGTCCTGGAGAACCAGCCCTGCCCAGTGCAGTCCAGGGTGGGCGAGGCCTCCAGACACCAGCGGGGAGCTTCTTTATGGGGTGTCTCCAGTTACCTCCCGTTGTAGGGTAGACCAGGGCCGGAAAGCTAGTCATAGATTTAATAGGTAAAGTTACGTGGAAACAGGTGATTCCAGACATGGTTTTAACCTTCCCACCTGAGGCCAGCTTCCCTGAAGCCGAGCTGGGCCTTGACTCTGCCCTGCCCCACTGTCTACTTGGTTCGGGCACTTTAAACCCTCCCCCTGCCCCGTCCCCCATCTGGGCCTGTCTCTCACTGCTGAAAGCCTCAGTGCCTCCCAAACATGGCCAGCTCCCAGTTCTGACGTGCAGTGCTGAGAACAGTCTAGAAACATGTTCTTGTTGCCTCAGCTCCTGGGACGGGGTGGGCACAGAGGAGTGGGTGAGCGCTATCTCACAGTGTTCTGCATTTCTTATGCAAAGGCTGCCCTGTGGCAAAAGTGGGCCGGAAATGGTGGGAGTAGGAAGAGGAACCCAGGCGAGGCTGAACAAACCAGATAACATACCAGGGAAACCAGGAATCCACTGCAGTTTGGTGGACAGCAGGGCAGTTCACCTCAAGAGTCATCACTCCTTCCTCTGCTGGACTGGAGGCAAAGCGTGCACAGGGATATCAGCTCAGAAGGTGGTTAGTGCAGAGTTGTTCAATCCAGAGAGGCAGAGTCCTCAGGGCTGCTGTGGATGGAGTAGGGCAAGAGAAGGGGCCCAGTCACTGCTGAAACCCACAGTTAGAACAGCCAGCAGCCAGCCCCTCTGCTAGCAGTCCAGCAACAGATGCAGGAGGGGGAGGAGGGAAGCTGTGTGATTCTTCTTCCTAGCCTCCCTTTCCTGAAGCCTCGTTTCTTTCTTATTTTGGGTTCTTGCAGATTGTAGAAGAAGGAAGGCGAGGAGCCTTACCAGCCCTTACCCTATTTTCTGCCAGGGTCTGGGGGCCATTGTCTCAGCATAGCCAGGCTTTGACTTAATTTCCAAGTCTCTGGATTTGGAGGTCTTCAACCGAGTCTTCTGCCCCTGAGTAAGTGGGAATGGGGAAGGCCCCTTCATGGTTGTGGGACCCCCTCCCTTCTTTGAAGGTCTCTTGGAGTAGCAGGGAGGGGAGATGGGTTGACTTTGGCTTCCTTCCATGGATTTCATTTCTGAGGACTGGGGCCCCTTTCCTAGCCCCTGGAGTATTGGGCCCCAGTAAAACTTTCTTTCTTTTTCTGTTCTTTCCTTTTTGTTTTTCTTTTTTTGAGATGGAGTCTCACCCTGTTGCCCAGGCTGGAATGCAGTGGCGAGATCTCGGCTCACTGCAACCTCCACCTCCCAAGTTCAAGGGATCCTCCTCCCTCAGCCTCCCAAGTAGCTGGGATTACACGCCTCCATGCCTGGCTAACTTTTACAGTTTTAGTAGAGATGGGGTTTCACCATGTTGGCCAGGCTGGTTCCGAACTCCTAACCTTAAGTGATCCACCCACCTCGGCTTCCTAAAGTGCTGGGATTATGGGTGTGAGTTGCTGCACCTGGCTCGGCCCCAATAAAACTCTCAACTGTACCCTGATCAGCAGGGATCCCGGGTCTGCAGTCCGTGCCCAGCCACCCTAGGCCCCTGGAAGTGCTCGGAACTCAGCAGCCTTGGAGAAACTTGAAAGGGAGGATGGTTCCTAGGACCCAGGTGGCTTTGGTCCCAGGTCTGTGGCTTCAGGTGAGGAGACAGGGACAGCTGCCTGGGGCTGGGAGCACGGAGGGTATTTCCCATCCCTGGGAGCAGAACTGATACCGGGCAACTTCCTCTTTTAGGGCCCTCTGACGCACCCTCTGTCCCCTCAGCCTCCCCCTCTTTTCCTTACTTCCGCAGGCCACTGGCGAGCACAGCTTTCTTCACCCGTGGGGCCCGGGCCCCACCCCTGGACTCTGTGTGTTTCTGTTGATGGTTCTGAAGTGCAGATTCCGGCTTGTTTAGAAATGATTCGGAGCAGATGCCTGGAAATCCAGCCACAGGTTTTGTTGGGCCGGGCACTGGCTGGGCATCCAGACCATGGCTGTGCCAGGGCCTCTCCCAGAACCTCCCCACTGCCTTTTTATGGTTCTTCTTTCCACTGGCCCTAAGAGCCCAGAGGCAGTCACGAGGGCCGGGAGCCCAAGGGCCCCATCCTCAGCTCTGGGCTTCCCACTGACCCTCTCCTCTTTTTTCCTTTTATCTTTTTATACCTTCGTTGACCTCCAAATCACCAAATTCTGCTTATTCTTAATACCAGCTCAAATTTCCCTTCTTCAGGGAGCCTCTGTAAGACTCATGGATGTTGCTCTCTGCTGATTTTAAATACAGATAATCTCAGGCTCCCATAACTTTATTATTGATTATTTCTTTGCATTTATTTATTCATGCTGCTTCCATTATATGCCAGGAACTATGCTACGCATTGTGGGGGCATCCAGTCTCCCGGAAATTAACCTTGCTTTCTCCTATTTGAGGGGAATTTCTTGTAGGCGGAATCAGGTTTTAAACCTCTTCTGAGTTCTCCACGGTACTTTGCATGGCTCTGGCCATAGCCAGGAACTTCTCAGGAAATTGTGTTGAAATCAATCTCTCTTCAGAACATGTTGGGCATTGCTTCATCCCTGGTGCAATCCTAGGTGCTCTGAAAACCAAAAGTTTTGATCTCTTTGCATCCTTGACTACATTCAACCCTGTGCTCATGATCACTTATATTTCTGAGACAGAGCACACAGATGGTGGTTTTTCTATATTAAAGTATAACCTAAGGAATGATCTAAGCCACAATGAGGCTGGCAGGTGAAGAGGGAGCTTTTCTCTCCTGTAGTTTCTTCTTCAAGTCTTAATGGTCTTGTCCCATGCCAGTGGCATTGGAGGGGGCCTGGTGCCAGGAGTCAGGAGGGCCACAGTCTATAGGGCCCCACTCTCTGCACCAGGGGTCTGAGAAACCCAAAGCAGGAGCAGATGGGAGGATCATTATTATATTTTTTAAAACTGCTTAGTGATCAAAAACCATCTAGAAGCCGTGATATTTAAACAGATCTGGTACAAAACAGGAAGCTAGTGGCCTGGCCAATTCTCACACTTGGAGACCAGAAGTGAAAATGCTCTGCCTGCCCAGAGTAGCAGCAGGCCAGCAAAACAACAGGTGGGGGCGGGCGTGGTGGCTCATGCCTATAATCCTAGTGCTTTGGGAGGTTGAGGTGGGCAGATCACTTGAGGTCAGGAGTTCAAGACTAGCCTGGCCAACATGGTGAAACCCCTGCCTCTGCTAAAAATACGAAAATTAGCCAAGTGTGGTGGCTCCTGCCTGCAGTCCCAGCTACTCGGGAGGCTGAGGCAAGGGAATTACTTGAACCCAGGAGGCAGAGGTTGCAGTGAGCCAAGATCGCACCACTACACTCCAGCCTGGGTGACAGAGTGAGACTCAAAAAAACAAAAAAAAAAAACCAGATTGGGCTGTGCTGGAGGTGGGTTTTTCCCTGCAGAGCTATGGGTCTGGTCAACTCCTCCCCAGTCAGGAGGATGAGGTTTCTCACGATAAGCAGGGAACCACTGTGGGAGTGATGGTGGGCCGTATAAGAAGTCACATCTATTCTAGTCCCAGTTCCTCCCCTTGTAGCTGGTGAGTGCAAGCTCTCTGAGTCCCTGGTGCTGTGTTTGTATAAGGCTGCCATTGGTCCTGAGGACCCTGAGGTCCCTTCCAGCTGAGAGGCTATTTCAGAGCTCAGGTAACTCTGAATAATCCTTTGTCAGCACTTCTAGCCTCAGTCCTAGCTGGCAGCTACCCTGACATCCTTGGTCCCCAAGAACATACTTCTCCCTCCAGGTGGTTTCTAGACAGTTCCACAGTGCTGGGGGTGGAGGAAGTAGAAGAGGATGCGGGTGGAGACATCCATGTGGTGTGTGTGTGCGTGCGTGTGTACTGCACAGCTGAGGCAAGAAGGAGAAGGATCATGTCAGATTGCCTGTTGTATTTCCAGAGGGCCTGCTCATGACAGAAGCTCAATAAACGTTTTGCCCGAACAGCGAATGCATGTTGAATGTTTTCATGGTCCTTTGCCTTGTCTCCTGACCACATTTGCTTGCCTTGGTGTTCCTGTTTGGTCTGTAGCCCTGAGTTCCTACAACACCCAAGAGTTGTAGGGTGAAAACAGCAGGGAAGGGAATCAGCAGGGTATAATATGACTCAGATAAGAAGATGAGAAACCTGAAGATAAAGTTTAAAATCATAGTTACGTACAGCCTGCTTTTCTTTAGACTCAGTCCAGTGTCTCCCAAGTATCTGTTCAGCCAGAAGCTCCCATCACCACTGTCGCCTTCTCATGTTTGGACACTATGCTTCTTCAAGTTCCTTCCCACAAATGGAGGAAATTCATTCATTCACGCATTCATTTATTCATCAAAATGAGCATCCATTGCCATGTGTTAGGCATTGGCTAAGTACAAAGGACACAGAAAGAAATCAGAGTGGTTTCTGCTCTCCAGGAGCCCACAGTCAGTGCTGCATGTAGCACTCTTGGGAATAGCAGTGTGTCCAGGGCACTAATGAGAGAAGTCAGCTTCAGGAGTCCTCTGTCCATTTGACAGATGAGACGACTGAGGCCCAGAACTGACATGACAAGTTCCCTATGTCCAGAGAACAGATAGTAGCTGAGCATTCTTTCTATTCCCCGGGGCTGTTGCCTCTTTCTGTTTGCCCTTGGAGCATTTCCAGACCAACAAGCTTGCTATGGCCACCCATCCGGCCATTCACGTATTATAGCATACCACGTGCAGGGTCATTCACATATTATAGCATACCATGTGCGGGGTGTCCCTGGAGCTGTCCGTGCTGCAGAAGCAGTTGGAAGAAGAGTCAGTGAATAGAGACTGCTCATTCAAAAGGTTGATTGTGAAGGATGGGCGAGAAGGTGGTGCTGGCCAGGAAGTTTTCAGAACCCTTGGCTTGTCTTCCCCACGGAAGCCTCCAGAATGCACCAGCTGGGCCAGATGCCCACTCTCCACATGCCTTCAATCCCTTGCCCAACCACATGACAGCCCAGACAGTTGATGTCCCCCATCCTCCCAGCCTGACAAGTCTCGTCTGCAGTGCCCACTGCCTGCCATCTGCTTACTGCCTGGCTCCTCCACTTTTGGAGGAGCCCATGCAGCCCGTGCGCCACATCAGGAGGACCGCGGTATGGAGATTAGACTGAGGGAGCAGGAATGGATGCAGAGGAGGACAGAGCCTCATGGTGGTCCAGGGAAGAGGTGACAATGAATTTGACCAGATGACAGTGGGGGGTGGTGACAAATGACTAGATTCACTATCTGGAAGGTAGAGGTGATAGGACCTGCTGAGGAGTCTGATGGGGCAGAAAGGGCTGACTCCTGGGTTTTTGACCTGAACTAGGAGAACCGTGGTGCCATTTATCAATCAGGTGGGGAAGACTGGGAGAGGAAGACGTGTGGAGGGAGTCATGAGCTCTGTTGTAGACACTATAATTTTGAGATGCATGGTAGACACCCATATGGAGCTGCTGATGAGGCAGCTGGATAGAGTTCGGGAGAGAAACCCTGTTGGACATTTGGAAGCCACCAGTATCCAGTTGCCACTTAAAGGTGTGGACCAGGTGATATCAAGTAGGGGGCAGTGGGGAGAAAAGGACTGATTTTAATAGAACAAGCAGCAAATCATCAGCTTGTTCCCTAAAGGGTGACTCTCCAACTTCATTGTAGGCTGGAATCACCGGCAGTGTGGTCATGGTGAGTTGTTTCCCTAGCAGGTCCTTGGGAACCGGCATTCAGAAATTCTGGGCCTCAAGAAGCAGTTTAGGAAGACACCCACAAGTAATTCCAGTAGAGGAGATCTTCTGAGGAACTCTGCCTTAGGGGACAGGAAGAGGGGATGTGGGGAAGTGGAGGGCAAGGGATACTTCCAGGGCTGGGGTGACCAGTTAGTAGGATCCTAAAGAATGTTCCTGTTCTCTCCAGAGTCACTGTGAGGACTTAATCTCCACCATGCCCTCCTGCCCCATGTGGGTAGAGGTAGAGAGGTATGATATCCTACACCCAGGCCTTTGCTGATCACGTACTAGTCTGTACCCCTCCCTGAGCCTCTCAGCTCTGCAGACTGGACAACTTACAAAAGGTTGTACCTCAGTTGCACCCCTGATGATGGGCTGCAATTGACCAAGGAGCCCCAGAGAGGCTCCTGGCTAGGCTCTGCAAGACAGACGCCAAACTCAGCCATGGTTCCTGTGACTCGATGAGGTGAAGGGATGGCAGCCTGCTTTTCTTCAAGGCAGGAAGTCATCAGGTGAATATTCTAGCTGCATATTGACTATAGGGGGTTTAGGGATCTTCTCCAAGCCGGTGTCCTTACCTTCACACTAAGGGGTATGGGCTCATTCACACTGACATGGGACTCCCCAGCCCTGAGCCTCACAGAGCCAGGCCAGCCTTGTCATCTGCTGAAAGACCTTTTCTTGGATAACTTGTCATTATTAAACCAGAACTCACCATATTCCCTCTCCCTCTATACCTGTGTCTCCCTTCCATGTCCATATTTTGCTTTTCTTACCATCGAGTTCAAGTGTGACTAGCACCACTGAGACCTTCTTTCACTCCAGCCCGTCACCCCATCTTGATAACTCTTCCTTTAAAATGTCTTTTGAGTCTGTCCTCTTCTTTCCATTCCCACTGCCCCTGCTCAATACTGTCATTAGACTATTGTATAAGCCTCTGTTATGAACCAAATATTTTTGTTTTCCCCAAATGCATGTTGAAGCTCTCACTCCCAGTGTGATAGCATTTGGAGTTGGGGCCTCTGGGAGGTAATTGGTTTAGATGAAGTCATGAGGATGGGGCCTCCGTGATGGGATTAATGCCTTTGTAAGAAAGTGGAAGAGAGACCAGAGCTCTTTATCTCCACCGTGTAAGGACACAGCAAGGAGGCTGTCTGTAAGCCAGGAAGAGAGCCCTCCCTGGGAACTCACTCAGATGGCACCTTGATCCAGCACTTCTCCACCTCCAGAACTGTGAGAATTCAGTCTGTTGTTTAAGCCACCCAGTCCATGGTATTTTGTTACAGTAGCCCAGCCTAAGACAGCCTCCTATCCTGTTTCTCTGCTTCTTGCCTCATCCTTCATGTGGAATATTGGTTTCTTTCACACCGCTTATCACTGATTGTAGTGATACATTTGTTGTGTTTATTTGCTTGGTGTTTATCTTCATAACCAGATGATACACTCCATGAAACCACTCTGTACCCAGGGCTGAACACCATGTCTAATACATAATAGGTGCTTCATAATGTTTCTTGACAAAATGAAATGCTCACTACAATAAAAGCCTCCAGCAAGTTTATCTGCCTCCTGCCTCATCCTCTCTGATTCATGTCTGATGCTTTGGCCAGGGCCATATTCTTAAAACACGAGTTTCATCCTACCCAACCCTTCCTTGGAAGAGTGTTTATTGGGTCCCACACCTCTTTTGGAGGTTTATGGGAAATTAAGTGAAGTTAGGATCAAGATGATAGTGGGGAAAGGTGCTGTGGAGTCATTAATAACGATGCATTTAATTTTAAATTGTGGGTTTGCTTTTTTAAACCCATGAGCACTACAGGAAATGAATGAGTCAAGCTTCCTAGCATCTAGGGTCCTCTAGGTTGAGGCTTGATCAGATCAGCTGCTGCCACTTAGGCAGGAGACCTGTCAGTGGTCCCAGGCAGTCACAGCCTACAGCTTCCCTTGCTATGCCGTTCACATGTGGGGCTCAGAGACCTTCCAGCCGGTAGAGCAGCATGGGTTCTAGGGGTGGGACCCGGCCTCCTAGGGACTGTGTGCCTTTTGTGAAAGTGTTGACACTGAGGCTGGGGGAATGGGTGTATGTTGGGTAGACAAGGCAGACTCTGACTACAGCTATTTAGAAAGTTGGGAAAACACAGTTCAATTGAATTTCCTCTTCGGTCAATGGTGGCCCATTTCCCCCATCTCCTTACTAAGAGGAAGTTCCATTAGCTCACAGAAAGAAAGCATCACACATTCCTTGGCCTGGAAAAGCCCTTGAAGGAGATTGTTCAGTCAAAGAACATCCGGGGCCTTCTGTTGGGGACTTGAATCCAAATTCCCAAGAAATCTGCAAGTGTCTCATTAGCCCCGGCTGCTTGGAAGAACTCGCTCAATTTCTCCCAAGGCCCTGGCTGTGGTGAGTGGTTAGAGAGCAGCCTCAAAGCAGAGGCGAATCAGTGCAGACTCCCACTCATTCCGCAGAAATGGAGCAGGCAGGGTCTGCACTGAGGGCTGTGCCTTCTGACTTCCTTCTGTCCTGCAACCTGCTTCTTGATCTGTCATAGCTCATAGCCAACCAAACTGGCTGCAGTTCCTCAAACATAATTCCTCTTATTCTCTAAATTTTCATATTCAGACCTCAGAGGCCTTTTCCATGGGGAAGAAGCTATCGCTAACACCTCATTTCTAGGAGAAAGTGACCAACCCTACTTTTCTTTCCATCTTGACGAGGGATCTAGGGCAAAAGCTCGAGTAGGTCTGAAATGGTGGGATATTAGTCAAGTTCTGTGAAGATGACAGAATCAGCACTTCCTCAGAACTAGTTATTTTCTCAGAATGAACGGGGTAAGGCAAGGTTGGAGATGACACGGGGAAAAGAGGTGAGGTGTCCCCAGTAACCTTCTAGGAAATCCAGGTGAGACAAACAGCACATGCAGGAAGCTCAGGCCGTAAGCCTGGGTTTGTTCTACCCACTGGCTGAGCCCGGGGAGAGAGTCAAACCCACATAGGGCTTTTCGTGGAGGGAGCAGGCTGCTTCTAGAATAGAATGCAGATGGCTTCCACACTTAGGAGAACCACTGCTGGGACACGCCTCCAGGGCTAGGGGAGCGGGGACAGGGCTCTGGGGAGGTGAGGTTTGCTGTCTTCCTGGAAAGGAGGGGTTTCCAGGTTCTTCTCTCCACACTGTCAGAACTCACATCCAAAACATTGCATTGTACTTTCCACCATTTGTTTTCCATCTTCTGAAAGAGCCCGCTGTGCATTCCTTCTCTTTCATTTTCAGCTGCTTCCAAGAAAAGCTGTCCATTTCTCTTTACAGGCTTAACAGCTATTTGCACATGGGGGCCACCACATGCCTGGCACTGTGTTACACTTTTTGTGTGATCTCATTTAAACCTCACAACATTCCCATGGGGAGCTGTTAACTCCATGTGCTGGGTGGGGAAATGAAAACTTGGAGAGGATAAGTAATGGGCCCAAGGTCACGAGGACTACCTAGGTCTGTTGGATTTGAGGCTGAGTCCTCAGCCCTGTTTCCTTAGTGACATGACACATCCCACCCATTATTACCCTCCTCATTATCAACAACCGAGTCCTCCACCAGCCACCGTGCCATCCGCAATCTGACTGGTTTCACATGATTCCTGTGGTCCTGACAATTTATTGGAATAAAAAACATGTATCACTAATACACAGAGCTTTGTGTTCAAGGCACATTCATATCCATTTCCTCAGTAGAACCTCATATCCCTATGAATTAGATGAGTCAGTCACTGTTTTCCAGATGAAGAAACTAAGGCTCCAAGAGGATAAGTGACTTCCCCCAGGTCACATTGCTGGAAACGGCAGAGTCAGAGCTAGAACTTTGGGGCTTCTGAGATACCCAGAATTCTTTCACTGTGCAATGCTGCCTCTCCAATAAATAAATCACAAAATAAATAAAGCTTTCAAGGGAACCCTCAGGAATCCTCCCTCAAGCCTGTTTCCAGAGGGAGATCAGTTACCAGACTGGCACCTAACAGCACCTTGGCAGGGGGCAGTGGTCATGGCTGGATTCCTTGGGCCAGAATGTCTGTTTTCAGAATGCTCCAGAGAAAGACAGGGCTCAGAGATGACACTGGAAGGCACATATAGGCCTGTCTCCTCCCAGCTTCCATGCCTATCGACTGAAATTCCTTTGTTTGAAGACAGATTCCAAATGGCCTGTGGGAAGCAGGGCCCATACATGCCCCTTCCTGGGCCTGTGACTGATACTGTCTTGGCATAATACCATGGACTTCCACTGCATTTGTTAGCCCCTGGCATAAGAAACAAGCTGGCTTGGGAGTCCATGGATACTATTTACTTTCTCCCAGGGCCAGCTTAGCTAATACCCAGCAAACATGGAGGGCTCCCTAAAGGTGGAGTCCTTATTTCACAGATGGGGAAATTGAGGCCCTCTGACAAGTCGCTGGTCCACAGTCACACAGCTGA